ATAGATGGGCGAACATAATCACCTGATTTTGTAAATGTGGCCAATGACATTTGCATTAAGCACCCAGTTTGCAATTTAAATTAATATGCCTAGCTTACATTTACAAAACGAGCCTACAATAGCAGAAATATGCCTTTTTAATGAAAATAATGTCCATGTTTAATGTAATGAAAAAAATGAATGAAATTAGAAAATAAAATTAAGAGATTGTTGTTCAATTTAGATTTATACATACATTATTATATCCATATATTTTATTCTAATGTCACAATTAATATTCTCAAGGTTTACTGGGGTTTATGATTATTTGATTCTTTTGTAGTGTGGGTTGGTGAAGAGTACTAAAAACAAACATTTTTCACATGTGTCCTCCAAATTGACCCACAATTCTGAAATTCATTCATTCATCAATTCTACGCGAGACGCAAGGTTTGGGTGCTTCTCAAATGGAAGGTTGCATCTACTGAGGCTGTGTCCTTCTTCGTTCAGACTTCGGAGGCGTGTAAGCTCGAGTCCTCCTCAGCATTAAATGCTAGAATGAGACGGTCTAGTACAGGAATGGGCAATTTCAGTGAGTCGTTTGCCTCATTTCAGGTCAAATAAAGAAATACAGTTGCTCAAAAAGAATCACATATAATAAAAACATTACAGCAAATAGATTCACATAACTTTCATATATTTTATATTTTACAGAATTAAAAACTTCTGAAAATGAAGAATTCAACTGATAGCAAGTCTTTATGATCTTCAGCATGTGAAGAAATTACTCTGACAAAGATTTGATTATGACAGACACTGGAGAAAAGTTGTGTGACAAATAAAGAGCAACAAATAAAACACATGTAAGGGTTTGGAGGTCTCTGTGTTTTCATTGGTCTGTTTTGATTCATGGTTTTCTAGCATTATACTTGAGAAAGCTTCAATTCAAGGTTTCTTAAATTTACCCTGAAGAAATCCTGATGTTGTTCTTTGACTTGTTTCAACAACACACCCACTTGATCATAAACTTCACCCTCTTACAGCACTTGCCAGGAAGAGACTGATGTGTTATTGCTCTATTATTGCTGTTATTCTCTACTGACAAAAGCAAGAATCAGCGAACAGTGAATGAAGAGAAACACTTTCCAGAAAGATTTTTTGTTAAGACGGCAAAATATTGTGTTAAATAAGCAAAAAAAACGTTGTTTAAACATATGTTGGAGTTCCTTAAACCTAGAATTAATAG